CTCAATTTTTTTTATACCATGACTTGATAGAAGAAAATTACACGAAATTAATAAATACTTAAAATTAAAAAAAGGAGAAAAAAGATAGACTTCCTTGTTTCATATATATATATATATATATATGTTCGAGTCATGGTTGAGCTGGCTCTGGGTGCCACATTGCTGCCTAGTCACCTTGGCCACGTTGGCACCGTGTCACTATCTCTACAACACATATCGACTCCGTAGTCGCGACAACGCCATGCAATTTCCATGGCCCCCACCTTATCCTCCCAGCCACGTCTACTCTACGTCATGCACATAAGCATGACCAAGAACAAGAGAACGGATGGGGAAAACTCCGYTGGGGATTAGGACTCATCCTGAAGACCTCGGTGGCTAACCTCATCCCGATACCCCTGAAAGCCTAATTCGATCAAAACATGAACCTTTGGCTATAAAGAGATACTCCCCACTCGAGGTAAGGGATTCCAACTTCTAGCACTCATACCGATATACTGCTCGGACCAACACTGTTCTCTAACTGCTCGGCCTGACTCTTTGCTACCTTCCACTGACTTGAGCGTCGGAGTGTCTACGTGGGGATAATTCCTTGGACCTCTGTTACCTTTCTTGATTGCAGATCTTGAAACACGATTCCATCCTTCTACTCCGGCTCTACCGAATTGGCAAGGACTATCTGACTATGACCTCGGTTCATGCACCACCTCGGATCGAGCAATATATATACATTGCTCTACCGGTGACTCATAATATCTAATCAAGAAGTCATCTTCCAATTCTTACTATAAGAAAATTGCCAACCATTGTCATCTCATTGATTTCTCATTAGGATAACTCACCAAAAGCAATGGTAATTAATGCTACATTTAACATGTTTTCAAATAACCAGTTCTGATGAATTTTTTGATTTTGAGAATCATTAAGTTTTATGAATGAAAAATTCGTTGAACTATTGTTTTTTTTATGCGGGACCCGGGGGGTCAAAAACTCATCTAATTTCTAAGAATTTATTCTTTGAAGCTGAAATTGAGCTGAAACTTTAAGCACAAAAAAGAATCATTTTGGCTCAAAACTCATTCTTTAAATAGTTATTTATTGGCAAAATAAGAAGAAGAAGAGAATTGCCATTGCCACATTGATTAGAATATTTTTGTAAAAAAAAAATAATTAGTTAGATCATCAATCATTAAGTTAGAAAGAATAATAACATTTTTCGACAAGAATAATCGCATAATTATAATCTATTCTATCTTACAAGTTTTATGCAATACTATACTTAATAAAAGAATGCCTTGAGGGGGTTCTATTAGTTTTTTATATCCCAATTGTTTTTGGCAATAATTCTATTTACTTTTTCCCAAGAACAAATAAATATCATTCAAAATACTAATATAAACTATGAGAGCATTATTGACATTCTATGACCTTTTAGTTCCTCTATGAAATGAAGATACTCACCTAAAGAACTTTGTTGGAGGAGGTTCTAATTAGTCATGTAATTAATTTCAGCTAAACCTTAGGCTGTCTTTGGTTTAATAATAAGAGAAAGAGAGATTCTATTAGATCAAACGACAATAGATTTGACAACTATTGAAAAAACTTTTGGAAATAATGCAGATTTCTGAACTCCATTGCAGACTTATAAATATTCAAAATGTCAAAAACCCCACTCTATATATCAATTCCTACCGTGAATTAACATCAATTCTGAGCTGGCACCTACCTCAAGTGTACTTTGGGCCTAAAAATTCTGACCCCAGGCTGAACCATCATTCTCCCAAAAATTTTTACAATCACTCATGAAATGATTTATTTTGGATCAAGTGGAATTATGTCTCTAGGGGGCATAATCATGCTTGACTAATTGTTGAATTAGGTTATTCACCAACAATTGATTAGGAGTATTGATTCTCCGATGGAAGTTAAAAAGCCAAAGAATAAAAAGAAATTTCATCTGGCACCGTCATATCTAGAGAAATTAACATATACTTTTATTTATGAGGGGTAATACACATGCATTCTCACGTGCAAAAGGAGAAAGGAGAGATAAATGTATAGAGTGAGGATTTGGATTCAGTCCTCACAAAACATTGCTCACTCCTTACAGCCACTTGCAACCATGTATTGGGAATATCTCTATACTTGTATGTTTATATTTATGGGGAGATATTCCTAATGCATATATCTGTGTGAGGCTGTGAGTATGGTGTGAGCACCATTTTGTGAGGACTGAATCTGATCTCATAGAGTGAGAACAGAGGAAAATAAATGGAATTAAATTTTGGGATGGTCATCTTGAGGTGAATCCAAAGCAAACACCAACATTATATAATAAAGAATAGATGAAATAAACTAGGGTTATCAATTGACCACTGGTTAATTGGGCAACTCAGCTGAAGACCGGTTGTTTGGCTCAATTGGTAATTGGTAGGGATGGCAACAGATAGGGTACCCACGAAAATTGCCCTTCCCAGTCCTAAACCTGCCTAATCATCTTTGATCCAAATCCATTTAATTTTTCCTCTCAATTTCCCAAACCTATCATCACACAATTGAAATGAGATATGCATGCCAAATATCGAGATATTTGGCAAAAATAAACCCTATCCAACTCTGTATGTTAACTTTAATATAAGTAATGTGATTTTCATATTTCGGTTGGTATATGCATGCCAAATATCTCGATATCGCTTTTATGAAATGTTTTCTTATTTCATCTTTTTGTAGAAATAAAATTACATAAATATTTATTAATACTTAAAAATTAAAAATATAAACACCGATAATGCATCAAATAGGGTTTGGGGGTTAGATTGGGTTGCCTGAGGCCTCAATCCATCCAAAAATGGGTTGCGTTCAATCTCATTTCTTAAAAGCCCAACCCAACCTGGTCTGAAAATCGGGTTGGATTACTTTATAGCTTTGGATTGACCCAAGCCAAGTGCATGAGGTTCAAAATTCAAAGTGTTGAAATGTACATTGGGTGTTTCAAGGAGGGATGGCAATTTTGTGGGAACTTTTCCTTACTCGACCCATTCCAACCCTAATAGGACCCATTTATCAAGGGGGTGTTCTTTTTTTGGATTTTGAGATGGGGGAAAGTTGGTCAATGGGATTTTAATTACCATTGACCAAGAAACCTATGTTCTTCAAATTTATGTGGGGACCGGGGAAAGTTTATTTTCCTGGCTCCTAGGTGAGTAACATGTTTGGTTCAATTCTCATTCTTACCCAAGATGAAATTCTAAAATGGAAAAGAATGGGTAAAAATAGGCAGAATGAGAAAATATTGCTATGAACCAAACACTTGTTTCTTAAAAATATATTCTTTTCAAACTGACAAGTGTCCTATGTTGCTCATTTTCATTCTTCAAAAAAAAAAAGTGTCGATATTCACAAATCGCCAGCCTAGGGTCTCCAATAGTCAATGTTTACCAATTGGCATAGATATTTTGTAAAAGTACTTTCATAAAAATGCTTTTATAAAAGTATTTTTGTAAAAGAGCTTTTATAAAAGTACTTTCCTAAAAGTGCTTTTGTACTTTCGTAAAAGTGCTTCCATAAAAGTACTTTCGTAAAAGTGCTTTTATAAAAGTATTTCCATAAAAGTGCTTTCGTAAAAGTGCTTCCATGAAAGTGTTTTCGTAAAAGTACTTTCATAAAAGTGATTTTATGTGCTTTCATAAAAGTACTTCCATAAAAGTTCTTTCATAAAAGTACTTTCATAAAAAAATGCTTTTATAAAAGTACTTTCGTAAAAGTGTTTTTGTAAAAGTACTTTTATAAAAGTACTTTTATAAAAGCCATTATCTAATATGATAACAAAGGAGATTAAAATTGAAGCAAAAGAGCAATCTAAGTATTGTTTTTGTTAGGAGAAATCGAAGCAAAATGAGCCATGGTCAATTGGGTTGTTCTGGTTCGAGTTCAATCCATGTATTATTTTTGGGAGAATGACAATTCAGCCCATGGTCAGAATTTGTAGGCTCAAAGTACATTTAGGGTAGGTGCTAATTCGGAATTGATGCCAATTCACGGGCGGGTATGGGTGCATAGAGTGTGGGTTTTTGACCTTTTGAATGTTTATAGCTCTGCAATGGAAATCAAAAATCTACATTGGGCATGTTTGTACTTTTCCGTATTATTTTTTAGTTAGATGAGTTTTGCTAATTTTTATTAATTATTTATAAAATTAAAGAATTTATTAATATTTTAAAACTTATTAAATTTTAATATCTGAATTTATATTAATTAATTAACTAATTAATTAAAATTATATTCTATTAATTCATTTATTTTTAATCAAACTTATTTGAAATAATTAAAAGTAATATAAATTTACCCAAATTGTAATTAATTAGAAGTGTTATAATATTATTAAGTGAATTTTGTTAATGTAATATGTGCTAAAGTTTTGTCACTTAATTTTGAATCTTTATTAATGAATTTGTAAATTACTTTTTTTTTTGTCATAATGGGCCATTTATTCGATTCAAATGATCGGACCGTTTGACCCAGGAACCGAACCTCTTGTCCGGTTCAATTTTAAAAAACGTTGATTTGGAGCCCATCCATCCACACTGCAGGGATCATTGCAGTAGCATCAAAGCCCACACACCAGTTGGATTTCCAGATTTTTTTTGACAGTTCAAAAGGAGTTATTATGCTTAGAAAGAATTTTAACACATATCACACTCAGTAAGCAAATGCCAGATATATAAGCTTCATTATAATGATTCTGCCAATTATGTCCAAGTCCAACACATCACGAAATCCAAGAAATCCTTGGATATCAAAGTAGTAAGAAAATAATTTGGGATTGAAATGAATATACAAAGAAAAAAGGAAAATGGACTCTAATTTGGGTCCTACAATATAATTGTGTAAAATTGCTTTCCAAAAACAGATTTTAAAATGATTTTCTAGAGCCACTGATTATTTTGCTGTCTAGACTGACCTTTTTAGCTGAATTAGTTAGTGCACTGGGTGATATATACTGGAAAAAACAAACGAAATCTGAGGGGCAATTGATTTATTTTCTTTGCATCTAGAAGTTTTGATTTATTACAGAAAGTGTTTGATCATGTCGACTTTTCTTTCTTTCTTTTTTTTTCTATATGGGGGATCTCCCAGTGCACTGTTGTGATGGATCAAGAATCCCCATTTTCAATATTGGAGGCTCACCAGGGACTCAACTAGAGTAATTAATTGCCACCAACCATATGCATAGATAACTCGAAAATAATCTCTATGAGGACAATCATGATATACGAGACAAACACCAAGCTCCATGGCCCAGCAGCTCTAGAAGAGGCCAAAGCCTGCCCACTCAGCATCAGCTGCTCCTCGCGGGGACGATCGGGCAGACCCAGAGTAAAAGGAAAAGGGTGAGCCGCGGAACGGGGAGGGGGACCTCCTGCTCGACATGGACGAAGATGTCACAGACACAAATGAGAAGGAAGAAGGAGAGTCATGGAACGGGGAGAGAGGCTTCCTGCAGGTAGTGGTGGACGATAACCAGCGGGAGACTGTTTCGAGGTTGGAGGCATAATCGAACTCGGCCTCCTCCACCTGATCATCAGTGCTCTTCTTGCTACCCTTTCGTTTCGGAAATGGAGCGGGGAAGCACTCGAGTGAAAGACTTCTTGAGTGCGCTCTATGAGGCTGATCGAAGCGCCAGCGATCAGACCGTGGTCGAGAGAGCGAGCGCATGGAGCGGCTGCCGAGCTCAGCCGGAGGAAAAAAGCATAGGCCTGCAGGCGGGGGCTTGAGCTGCTGCCGTGGCTCGGCTGATGACTTTTGAGAAGGTGGTGGTGGTGGTTGGGCCTTGGGAACACCTGGTCGGATCTCCCACTTGAATGGCACGGCTCCTGGTCTCTTGAAGGACTCATCTATGGCCATCTTAACCGAAATAACTAACGAGGTAACTAACTAATAACTCTCCTGATGATCTCCTTCTCATATTTATAAATGCATTAGGGATGAATTTGGGTGTTGGGCTGGTCTCGGCGAGATCAGTGGCGGGAGGGGTGGGTGGGTCTGTGGACTGCAGGTCCATTGTGTATGCTGCTGCAAAATCAGAGTCGACATATTAAATCAAGTCTTATCAGGGTCTCATAGCATGAACATGTGYCCAAATATTCAAAGTTTTCAAACTGTCGGCATGGTCAAGATCAGTTAACATGAATGATCAATGGATCTCTCTCTCATGCATGTGCATTGTTTAGATGACTGAAAGCTTATTGCAGCTCACAGATCATTGTCACAAGATATTGGGACCCATCCTGGCTTGCTCAAGGGAGCTTATTCTATCTTGGTAAAATCATCACTGATCATCAGTGGGTAGGTTTTGATCTTGATATGATCGAAATTGGGGCTTGGTGGTAGGTGGGCTCCACTAAAGAGGTGATTTTGGGTTTCATTAGAGTTGAAAATTAATAATAGAGTTTTATTTATGGCGTAAATCATGGGCACAAGATATATAAATGGTTCAATGCTTACCCTTTCACCCATAATTGGGTGTATAGAGCTCACATCTGTTGTGACCATGGTCGCAGGAAATTTTGTCTAATACAACGCCAGACATGATTTTGTTTGTTTTGAATTCAAAGCACCAGGTGATCTGTCCTTTAATTAGATGGATTGCTAGCGTGTCGAGGTTGCCCCATTTAAACGATTTCAACTGTATCTACATTATCAGGCTTGATTTAGGGTTTGGTCCACTGAAAATTTAGGTGTAGTTTGTTTGCAGTGCAATTTGCACTGGTTCAAAAATTTGGGAGTGTAAATGGTTTAAATACAAATTCTAATTTATTTTTGTTTCAGTTTTTGCTTCATCTTATTCGTTTACGTCACCAATGAAGCAAAATAGAACTTGAAAACAGAAACAAGGTAAATTCCAAAATTAAATCAGAAATTGCATTCTTTTTACATGCACTTTTATGCATTTGTACTAGTACAAATGAAATTGTACTAATAAAAAAACGATTGAAACGAATTCCAGTCCCAACTTGACCTAAGTTGCGCCCCTAAATATGGTTGTAGTACATGCGAACTCTTGGTTGCAAAAATGCTCTTTGCAACTAGATTAATTATGCACATCTGCACTGTAGAATGGCCTGTTCATGGCTGGTGTCCTATTAATTGTCGATTTCAACAAACCTCCACTTTCCCATTGAGGCTAAACCACCAACTATGCTTATATCATTGTTTTAAGAAACTATTCATAAACGAAACCATTCTGACCACAGGTTTTTAGGTCGATGATTCGACCGTCCGATTCAAGTAGGTGGCCCGTTTTGACAATAAAAATTTTAAAAAATAATTAAAAATAAAAAACGTTTAAAACTGTTGAATGGATCAACGATTTGACTGCCTGGATCAACGGGTCATTGACTGATTCAATGATTTTTTGCCAATGACCAGATTTGAAGTAAAACAGAACCGGTTGCCTGAACGGTTCCCAAGCCAAACAGTCTGACTGCCCGGGTCAACGGCAGTTCAAAAATCATGCTTGATATAACATCTTATACCAAGAGTTACGTTCCCTTATAGTATTTCCATTCAAATTTGGTTACTTCTAGTTCTAGCATCTCTATTGTGAATATCTTAACTTGTCAAATAGGTCATATTAATTATGAACTTCTAGCTATGAAATATATGTATTTATTTCAATTTCTTCCGTAGATTCCCCCCAATGCATACTCAAATAATAACTTAATTTACTAATATATTTTTAGAAAATTGTAGTATTACTGGTGGTGCATTAATTAAGGAATAAATTAGCAGTTTTCTTTTATTTTTTCCTCAAAGTAGGGATGAGAGAGAGGAGGGAGGGAGGGTAATACGGTATAATAGAGCAGTAGTTATAGGCTGCAACTTGGGTGGGCTTGGGTTGAGAACATTTGTTAAAATTTGAATGGCCCAATGCTATGTAAATTTTTCAAATCAGGGTGCCTGATTTACGCCCCTATTATCTCAAATTATCCCATTCAAACTTGACCATAGGCGAAAAGAGGAGACGGATTATTCTTACTAAAATTTTGTCCTACTTGTACATAGATCTACATGATCTGAATGCAATTTACATGTATAGAAAATCACACAATTATATGAAAAACATGTTAAATCACTTGTTCTGTGTTTGGATAAGCTCCAACTACTGTATTAGATTATGTTTTTAAAAGAAACACTTGCTAAAGCTTAAAAATACTTTCTCTCACATTTTAGTTTATCACAGCCCAACGCTCAAAAAGTAGAAGTTTATCCAAACATAGCCTAATATTTTTCATATGTCCTTTTGCTTGGGTCATTTGGTTATAACTTCAAGCTAGTTGGCATTGATTCAGCAGACAGAAAACAAAGCAAAGCATGAGATCCTAAATTCTTGGCAGCAAAATGTGTCTCAGGCTCAATTTGGAAAGAGTACAAATGTAAATATGTACAGTACAAATACATACAAAGTATAAGGTTTTGCACTTTACATATTTGCATTCATATCCTTCCAAGCTGAGCCTCTCATGAACTAAATAAACATATGAGAACAAATTACTTGGCTAAGATTATGATCACATGGGGACTTGTTGGTTTTTGTTGCGACTCAAATCAAATTTAATGTTTTTTTTTTCACTTGTCTTTATGCGTTTGTTCATTCCTGTTTTTGCAGAGTTTTAAGAGCTTTTATCTCTCTAGTTTAGTGGAGAACAATGGAGTCCCAACGGTGCACGCTCACACCGAGCCAGTCTATCACATGTGCACATAGGGGGGCTCACAAGCCTAATTGAGTATGTGTATAAAGGGTGTCACCTCAACTACTAAGGGAGACTTCGGCTCGACACCTTGGTCATTGAGAGAGACCTCGGCTCGACACCCTGACCGCCAATAACCCTTGCACCTAGAAGGGTGAAATCAATATTTAAGGACAATGACATTTGTCGTACTTCAACTAGTTACTAATAAGTTTCTTATGTTTGATGCTTACATTCTTATAGTTTGTAAACTTTGAATTGCTCATTCTGAATTTTCATTGGTAGTACTTTTGATCTGTTGTAATTGTTAATAATTGGAAATATTTTCCTACAATACTTGTTCGGAATGCTATAAATTTTTATATAACTTTATTTATATCTAGTTTTCAATTTTCATTAAAAAAACTTATGCTTAATTATAATTTATACCTTATAATTCTTAAGTTTTAAGGGATGGGAAAAGTCTAAATATCTTGTCCAATCATAGAGTATGCATTGTCACAACTTTTAAGTGAAAATACAATTAATACTTATTTATTATTTAAATAATTATTATGTATTTTTAATTCTAAAATAATAAAAATAATAATTGAAGAAGAAATCAAATTCTCTATTATAGATATGATATATCATCAATAGATCTACAATATATTCAATCCTTATTGGAAAGTCAAATATTGTTAAAAAAATGGGCTGTTCTACTAGAGAAAACACAAAACGGGATCTGCTCCTCACACTTGGGCGCCTCACATGCACATCCACCATGCATTGGGAACATCTCCCATAAATAATAACTTATAAGTACGGGAGATATTCCCAATGCATGGTAGGATGTGCATGTGAGGCGCCATATGTGAGAAGCAGATCTGGTCTCAGAAAACACTGTTTTGCTACAATGATCGCCCTATCGAGTAGACCTGTTCATGGGTCGGGTGGCCCGATGGGCCGGTCTGGCCCCCRGACRGGCTTGAACGTGGTTATAGGCCCGCAGGTTTAAATTCAGGCCAAAAAATCCGGCCCGCAATAAATTCAAGCTGGGCTCGGGTTTTGTCAAAATAGCTTGGCCCGACCTAATATTAAATTTAAAGTGAGTAATGTGATTATGTCCATTTGAATACATTTTTTTATTAAAGAATGTAAAACTGTGTTTTAAAATATAAAAGAAAGGGGAAAAAAACCATCTTATAGGCCCCTTGTTCATTTAAATAGGAAAAAAAACTATCTTAATTTTTAATTCTAATTTGAATAGGGAAAATTGTTTTTTTTTATTAGGTCGGGCTTTGGGCTTTTTATTAGGACCGGGCTTGGGCCTAGCATATTTCCCTTAATGACAAGTGAAAACCCGGCCCGAGCCCGGCCCGGCCTGGCCTATGAACAAGTCTACTATCGAGTGATCACTGTAGCTCAAAAACGGGTAAGAAGGAAGTGATTTTTGCGGGTATAAGTGACCCACCCAAATAAGAATCTGAATCCAGTTTTATCTTATTTAATTCGGCCTATCCACCTGTCTGGGCCGTTTTCTAGGCCTAGTCAACTTAGGCCCAATCAAACTGTTTTCTTGACCCAAATAACTATTAATTACTTATAATTAATTTATAAATTGTTAMATAATTAAGTAATTACTGATAATAGTTTATAGTTAATAATTAGTAGAAATTACTAAGAATCATCATAAATTACCATACCCAGTATTTCCAAAAATATAAATTACTGATTTTTTTATTAAAATTAATAAACTAAAAGAAATTACTAGAAATGAGCAAAAGCTTAGGAGTATTTTCTTTCTAGAAGTACCATAAATTACTAGAAACTACCAGTAAATTAGTAAAATTTTCAAATCATTATAAATTATCATAAACTACCCATAATTACCAAAAATTGTCAAAATCGTTCAACATCATTTCAACCTTTAGATCTCAATTAACTAATTATTTTTACATTCGTGAACAAAAATAATTTTTTTTCCATCAACTATATTTTTGTTAAATATTTCCTTAAACTATATTAAGTTTTATTATAGATCATCTTAGATTTTTGTGAACTGATTATACTTGGTAGGTTTCATATGATTTTTTTTTTTAATTTGTCAATAGACTTATTATTTCATTATCGTTTAACAAAACTAGTGCACTCACAAATATTAATAAAAATAAAAAATAAATCTAACCAACCTAAAAGTAATAATTGGATTGGATGTCGATTTAGATATGTCATAGCACATCTTATTTAAATATTACTAGTGTAAGGGGCACATGTGCAAATAAAGATGACAGGGATGACAATTTCTAACCTACCCGGTGGGTTCCCGCCCTACCCTATCCGATGGGGTGGTTTTTTTACTTGAAGGACAGGTTTTCGGGTAAGGACGGATTTTAGGATTCTACAACTCGTATGAGTACAAGTAGGGTATAGTATTAAGCTAACCCAACCCTCCCTAACTCACATATTATTGGAAATCATATAAACTTTATGTACCAAGTGTTGAATTTAATAATATTCTCAATTTTATGTGAAAGATAATTGATAGTTCATGTGTTTTCTATATGTCAATCAAATAATTAAAAATTTTGTTGTTTATTTGTGTTGTTTTACTTATTTATTGTTTATATATGACAATAAATAATAGAAAATTAGAAACAAGTTCTAAATCCAACCCGTCCTACCCTTGAATGCGGGGAGGGTAGGGTTGGAGAGGGTTTTGTGTTTTCATGTACGAGTAGAGTTTGGATCCTCAAAATCCAATCTGCTATAAGTTTTGAGGTGGATACGGGTTGGGAGGTTTAGAGAGAAGTGTAGAGTCTAGAATTTACAAAACCCTCCCTGAACCGGCCCCGTTACCATCCCTAGAAGAGAGGGCAAAATACAACTTCGTTAAAACTTGCAAGTAGGTATCCTATACTTTGGGGTAGTCTCATTTTAGTGTCTAAACTTACAAGTGTGCCGCTTTAATACTTGAACTTTCAAAAATCTACATTTAAGTTTAACTTGGTTAAACTAATATTACAAAGAGAGGAGTAAATTTACAAAATACCCATATTCTAACTCTTTTTTTCAAACAGAAACCAACCATGGCAAAGTAAGTGTTCGAAAGTGAGATTAATGTCAATGGACAGGTCAAGGTGAATTTACTTTGCCACCACCACTGGTTTGCATTTGAAGTTTTAAGGTAAAAACTATGAATAGCCAAGAAAGAGAATCAGAACATGGGTATTCTTGTAACGTTGCCCTTCTCTGTAACGTTGTTTAACGAAATTAGACCTAAAATCTATATTTCTAAAAATTGAGGTGCTAAGGTAGCATATTAATAAATTTAGGCCCTAAAATGAGAATACACCAAATTAAGTAACTATCTGCAATTTACCCAGTTTTATGTTATATTCATAGGGCCAAAGTGTGAGTTCACATCTGCACCCCACTTAGCACGCCCCACTACCGCCCTACATGAACATTTCAGCGTGCATGAGAAACATTTTCCGTTCTGATCATTGGGAGATGTTACCAATATATAATTGGGATGTCTTATGGGGGAGACCGGATCTGCTCCTCACATAGGGCGTTTCACACGCACATCCTATCATTTGGGAACATCTTCTATATTTATAAATTAATTTTTACGGGAGATGTTCTTAATGCACGGTAGATGTGCATGTAAGGCGCTCAAGTGTGAGGAGCAGACCCCATCCCCTTGTGGAGTGGTGTGGAGTGCATTCTATAGGGTGCATATGTGAATTCTCAAAGGGGTAATAACATATAAGGGCAACTTTTGAGGTTTAATATCAGTAGAAGTAATATATTTAAAAAAATTTTAAAAATAGGTTAACTTTTTAAAAATAATATCAATAAAGGGCAAAAACACTGTTTATCTTCTTCTTGCCATTTGTTCACTAGAGTCGCCGTTCGTCGCCACCTCTGGCAATGTCGCCGGAGGTAGAGGTGGCGACGGCGACGCTAGTGGTTTCTCTGATCAACGCCACCACCTCCGCCTCTGCCTCCGACAACATTGCTAGAGATGGGTGGAGACAGAGGTGGCGGTGGCAATAGGTAGAGGAATAACTACCAGCGCTGCCGCCGCCACCTCTACCTCCGGCTGCCTCTGGAAACATTGCTGGAGGTGGAGGCAGAGGTGGGTGACACTAGACGACGGTGGCAATTGACGGTGACAAACGGTGGCTCTGGTGAACAAATGGCAAGAAGATGAACAATATTTTTGCCTTTTATTGATATTATTTTTAAAAAGTTAACATATTTTTGAATTTTTTTTTTAAATATATTAATTTCATTGATATTAAACCCCAAAAGTTGCCCTTATATGCTAGAAACTCGTTCTCAAATCCCGGCTCGATAATCGACCCTAATCATTCAGGTGGAGCCTACCTCGCAAAGCTAGGGCCAAGAGTTCATGGAGAAGTTGAGCTGGATCTGCTCCTCACACAGGACGCCTCACAACGATCTCACAGCCACATCTACCGCGCAATAGAAACATTTTCCTTACTTTATGGGAGATGTTCCCAATTCACGGTGGGATGTGCGGTGTTAGGCGCGATGTGTGAGGAGAATATCTGTTCTCGGAGAACTTTGCTGGCACGTAAGCAAGTCCAAAATCCAAATATCTCGGCAGAGAGGAGCAGCAGAGAGAAAAAAAACCAAAACACTCCTGGAACAAGAGACCGAAGGGAGAAGCAGTAGTAGCAGCAGCAGCGGTGAGAGATGGTCTTCTCAGCCACTACTCCTCATTTCTTCTGCTCTCGTCCATGGCCTTTCACTCTCTCACCTCTTCAGACCAACCATTCTTCTTTGTTACATCTGAACCAATCCCCTCTCTCCACATCATTTCCGATTTCAAACTCAATCTACAGAAACAGCTGCAATTCCCACCATAATTGTAGCTTTGCACTCACTCGGTGTCGAGCCGCTAAGCAGCAGAGGGGCTCCTCCGTAAAGAAGCGACCGCAGGCGAAGAAGAGAGGTAGGCCTCCGAAGACTGTTATCGTTGACGACATCGACTTCGACGATGAGGTTGATGTTGGTGATAACGATTCCACGGGCTCTACTAGCCGGTCCCAATCCTACCAACCCTCGCCGCTACCAAAACCGCCTGCTGGGTTCGTGCTGGATCCTCATGGGAAGGTTCTCATGGCTTCTTCCAAGAGAATTGCCACTATTGTGAGTCTTCTTGTTCTTCTCCCTCTTGATATTGAGCTACTGTCTCGGAATTTTATGTTCTGAAGGTTTTTCCTTGCATTTAGCGAAAATTTATGTGCGCTTCAGTGAATTTTAAGTGGATTTGTTTTTAGGACAGACAGGCTTTGCATCAATAGCTCTGACATTATGGTAAGGATAACAACAATTTGAAGTTATCTATGAAAGGATGAAACTACCCAGAAGAAGAAGAAGAAACATAGTTTTATTTAGTTATCTTTACAAAAGTAAGGGTTTTATATCATATATAAAAAGAGATAGGGTTGCCGGCAAGTCATTTGCAAGTTTCTAAAATAATGAAAGGAATTATACCTAAATTTCCTAGGACCCCATTTACAAATTGACAACCTGCTAATAAAATGGTTATAACTTTCCTGATTCAGAAAGACTCACAAAATGTTGGTTTCATTGTACTGGTAACTAAAAACCTTTCAAAGATACCAAATTCACCCTAAACAGGTAAGTTTTTACCTATATCTGGTAGGTTTAAAATGGTGACAAAATTTTTACTAAGGTGCAAGACAACCTTGCTGATCCCACCATACAACTATTTGAACTGCCTAAAAGTTAGGAGTCTAAAACATCTAAGTACAGAGACAATACCCACTACAAGAATTAAAATTCAATGTTTGACACTTTGACCAATATCAGAAAATTTCTAAATATTATGAAATCACCACTTTAATTGGAAAACTAAGAGTACTCTGATTTATTTCAAGTAAGTGAACAAAACTAGGGCCTTAACCTGTGGCCTCCTAGAGAGGGTGATTGGGTTGGTAGGTTCCAAAACATCCTGATCCTGTGGGTCTCACATGAGGAAGCCCCAGTCGTGCAGGACTATTGCAAGACTTAGATCTAGCGACTATTGTGAGACATATATTGGTTATAACATATTGCAAACGTCTCAATTTACAATGCTTTTGTGACCTTGTGGGACATAAAAACAGAGCTTAATAGTAATGTGCATAAAACTCCTGTTTGTTTAGAAAATTATTCCACCTTGTTATGAGACACATTTGAATCAGTGGTTTCATGATAAATTTCCCTTGACTTGTCTTCTCATTGCTTGATTAAAATTGTGTTTTTACCAAATTGAGGATTGTGGAAAACCATGGATAGGTGGACTCTACAAATAATTTTCCATTAGAGTGCATTATAAGAAGGGTATTTAAAAGTTCCCAGGGGGATGACTGCATGCTGTTGTGCCCAGTTGACACGTAAGTGATTTAGTTCCTTTGTAGCTTTGTAAATTTTCTAAACTTCATTTGTAATCGATAATTGACTCCTGCAGGCCTGTCCAAATCTTGAAGAGCACGAATGTTGATGGCTGGTCAGCTGTATGTATCTTGTTTTAGCTTTAGATTTCTGTTTGCTGGTCATCGATAAGCTATAGATAGAAGCTGCTTATAGAACTGTTTGATACTGGAAATATTTCTGAATGCACTTCTTTTATCTTTAACTTCTGTGTTGACTCACCCACCCTTCTTCTCTTTTCCAGTGACCCTGGGGGGATATCTTTTCTTTGTTTGTTTGGTTAATGACTGTGATAAATCAGACTCAAGTCTTTTGACTTGTACCATTTATTGGAGTTATATAGCATGTTTATGGTATGAAAGTGAGTCTTGATGTTGATTTCAGAGCTGAAAGCTATTTTGCTTTAAATGCTTCAAGATGATGATGAATCTGATTATGCTTCTTAATGAATGATTTCATATTTCATTGTTGATTAAAAAAAAGGAATGAGTCTCTAAAAATGATGAAAAATTTCTCCACATCAATGAGTATGCAGATCAGCAGCAGTGTTCAGGTATGGACATATAAATTTAATAAATATAGTATAACCATATGATAAACTCTAGAGAAATTGAACATGGCCATTACAAGCCTACACCTTGGAATAAATGTACTTTGTGTATTGCAACAATTTCTATCATCATCATCTAAGCCTTATCCAAACTATATGGTGCCAGTTACATGAATCCTGTTTTTCCATTCTGTTTTGTTTAAAGCCATATCAATTGTTGCAACAATTTCCATGCTATCACTTAATTCACAATGCCACATTGGTGAGTTGAATATAGTTGTGCGACTTGTGGTGGATACCTACACCATTATATCTAAGTGGCTAGAAGTATGGGTAGTTCCCATTATCAATTTATAAAGCAAGGACTCTGGTCTGATGTGGATTCAAATGACCAGAGTCCAAATAGGTGAAAAAGGCTTTCCTAGGAAGCAAGTTTTACACTGAGAAGCTGAACCTTTTATCATTTCTTCCTTCAACGAAGAATAAACAAAGAAGGAAGGCATAATTATATGGAGAGTATCTCTTCTGTCTATGCAGACCAGAGAAGAGAAAGAAATAATATACCATACATGTGAATTTCCCTAGTAAGCACTATTTTCTATATGGAATACTTTGAGTGCCTTTACTTCATTGTTGACACCAATATACAATGATCTTAAGAATATCTACTGAAGTCTGTGAGTGTTAATGTCACTTATCTTATCTTAAAATTCAACTTCACCCCTTATGGCCGTGGCCTACACTAGTGACCACTACTTTGCTTTTGGGATTTAAATTTTCGGACCTTATCAAATAATACTTTTTTTTTTTACTACTTTCAAGCATGATGTGCAAAAGAAAAAAATCTTTGTAACAAACAAACAAGTATCGATTTTGTTCATCTGTTCCTAATGGATTTCAGAACTCTCCATTTCAGCTGTTTTTGTTAGTAGAGTTCAAGTTTGTCATAATCCACATTATTTACAATCTATGTACTGGGGTTTTGCAGGTCAGTGATGAAGAAGTTGAATCCATTCTTCCTACTATTGCTTATTCCCTTGCCAAGATACATATGCATCTGGTAATTAGCGGGTATGATTGCTATGGCCTATGTATTTTAAGTTATTTGTAGACAGATTTATTCCAATTCTTTCACATCAGTTGCAAAATGCAATTTTGTAATATCATAGTTACTGGAAGCTATCAATTTTGGTTTCCCCATGATTCCTAATGCAAGTATACTTCTTTGTGTCTCTGGATCAGATTTTGTTATACTGCAAGAGGAGGATTTTGCTATTCAGAAGAAAATATATTTGAATTTGGGACAGGCAAGATTTATTCTCTTTCTTATTTTGTGGTTTTTGAAACATGGAAGTTGCTTTGACAGTTTGATCTTTTCCTTTT